TGGATTTTGGTAGAACCTTAATCTAAGGCATCCTAAGGTAAGGATTCTTGCTTTAGATGTGAAGTTTTGCATATATTTGTACATTGAAGGCTTATGGTTTTATTGTGTAAAGTTGTAGAGAAGAGACAAGCATTTTAAAGGAAAGTGCAAGTGTGATCTCTCCATTGCAAGGTAAGTAAATCCAACCCAAGTTGAAATTTGAGAAATCTTTTGAGTAGAGATTTAGTAGAGATTTATATATGTATGTGTATGTTATGCTATTGAGAAATTGGGTTGAGATGAGTATTTGTTTAATGGTTGTTGATTACACTTCATTGATGAGAAGTGCTAATATGTGACGAATATGTAGTGATGAGAGGATGTAGTTGTGATGAACTTGGAGGAGATTGATAAATCTATTTGGAAGTGTTATTTAATGACAGGGATTATAATTTTGTGAGGGAGTTTTCTCCCATTTTGGATGGTTCAAGAGAGAAATAGAACTATAGATAAAGTAGAGTGTATGTATGCACACTAAATGTTTGATGAAATGCCATGAGTAGTGAACCTTAATTCTTGCAACATTGCATGTTGGCATTTAATGAGTGTATTAGTGGAGAAGATTAATTGTGCATTGAGAAGTGGCTTGAGAAAGAGTAGAGAACTATGTGTATGAACTACTCTAAGAATAGAGAGAATGAGAAAATATGAAAAACGGGTTGGTGCTTTGTGATCTCCACCCAATAGTTACGAAAAGCGGGTTGGTGCTTTGTGATCTCCACCCGAAAGTCACGAAGAGTGGGTTGGTGCTGTGTGAACTCCACCTGGCCGTGCCTTCGGTGAGATGAGGCCGTGACATATAGCAGAAGTTAAGTAAGAGAGCTGTGTGAAAGAGAAAATAAATGAGATGAGAAAAAGTGTAAGGAAAGAATTAAGAGGAGGAAGTTACCGGGACAGTCGTAGAGGATTTACTTAGTGAGCATTCTTTTGTGCTCACCCCGTTGTTTTCTTTGTGAATGTAGGATCTAGGTGAGAACGCGGTTGGACGGGCATCGGCAAGTGAGAAGCAATAGCTACACTGTCCGCTGCTTTAATATCGTTTTGTAAATGATAGTTTTATTTTGTATAAAGAATGTTTATATGTAATAAAAGAAAATTTTGGGCCCATTTACTTTTCCTAATATACATGTATTCTACTTGATATATTTCTATGAGTACCCTAGTATAAAGCAGTCATTACAATGTTACAATTACAGAGGCAGTCGAAGAGGCAATGTGGCTCAGGGGAATGCTTGATGAAATGGGATTGAACCAACATCAGTTTCCAATCAAGAGTGACAGCCAAAGTGCAATTTTTCTGTGCAAAAATCAAGTTTTTCATGAGAGATCAAAACACATTGATGTCAGGTTGCACTTTATTAGAAATTTGATTGAAGACAAAGTCATTAAGGTGGAGAAGATTCCTGGAAGAGAAAACCCAGCAGACATGTTCACTAAGTCTGTTATTTTGGACAAGTTAAGGCTCTTTAAGAGCCTTCTGCACATTGAAGAAAATTAGAAGAAGTTCTAGGGCAGTAAGGAAAGGCAATGATCAAATGCCAAGGTGGAGATTTATTGTGATGTGGCAATTGACCTATGACCACGTGGAAGTCAAATTATAACTTAGGTGGTCAAAGTTATTTGTTAAAGACTAAAGGGGCAATTCTGTCAAATCTATTCTTCAATAAACCTAATGCAAATTAGGTTTTGTTCACTCTGTTTTCTCGAGCTTTCTCTCTTGGTTACAGAGAGAGAAAGTTTGTTACGAATCTCTGGATGTGCTGGAAATCTGAAGATCGTTGATAGAATCAAACGGTGGTGGTGGTAGGTCTTAGTTGGTTTTTTCTTTTTGCTTTCACTTGTGTATAAATCTGTCACTAATGTTTGGTTATTGTGTTGGTGTATGAGAGGTGAGGAGATCTAGGTTTTACAGAGGGGTTTTCATTTGGGTTTTGCTCTATGTAAAGGGTGAGCGTAAATCTCTGTAAGGTTCTCTATTCTCATAGTAAATTCTTCTTATTGCCCTGAAGAGTGGATGTAGGTAATCTGTGTGATTACTGAACTACTATAAATCCGTGTGCCTTTTATATTCAGCTTATTATCTATTTATATTGCTTGTGATTTATCTGCTGTTTTGGATTATGTACTGCTTTGGATTTTCGTTTATGGTTTCTGTTTGCAACAAAATTCCTAAATTTCAAGGTGATTGAACATCGATTCGGTATTGTCGAACATTAAACCTAACCGAATCGACATGCAAAACATCATAATGTGAATCAGCATAAGTTGTGGTGTAGCTTTCTATTTTATTTCCTATTAATACTTTAATACAGCCAAGTGTTTCTTACTAACAACTTAGTAACCTTATTAGGGTTTGGTAGCCCTTGACCAGTAAGATTAGTTGGAGGTAAAAGGTAACATGATCTTAATTATAAAATAATATATACTTTTAATTCTTATTAAATAAATTTCATATCATTTGTGAGATTTTTCAACCTTAATGTAACTTACCTTCCTCTGTTTCTAACTAATTTTATACATATTTATTTGTTTTCTACACTGTTTATCTCAAACGGAAGCCCACATCTCTCTTATACCTTCATGCGATATGTGAGCTCACAAATGTCCACTTATCATATCCTACTATCTTATCCAATCTAGTGAAATACATATTTGTTTTAATATTGAGTATTCAATTCAAAACTCAATCATATTCTATTCAACTCAAAATATTTAACAATAATTTGTCTCAATAAAACTTTATAAATTAACAAAAACACCTCCACCCACCCAATTATCGGCAATCGGCCACCGCCGTCGGATGGTGGCCGAAAGTCGTTGGAATGGCGTACGACCGTCTGGATATGACAGGAAACGACTAGATCTACGATAAAAGATCTGGCCATTGATGAAGGCCAAAGATATTACCGTTGATGATGACCAAAGATATGACCTTTATCTTTGGCCGTAGATCTGGCCGTAGATCTGGCCGTTTCCCACTTGCTTATGTGTTATTACATAAGGTTTTAGTTGACTTGATTGAGAAGATTAGAATGTATGGTGTTAGGGGCCACCAAGATTAGGGCTGTTGGGGGTTTTTGAGGTGGGATGCCAATGAAGTTATGAGTGATAATGGGGTTGATTTCTGGCACTAGGAGTGACCATAATTTTGCTTAAAGCGCGCGAACAAAAAAATTATGGTGGTCAACGAACGGCGGCAACAAACGGTCGAAGATGAGAGGGGTTACGAGGAGGGAGATGAGAGGATCTTGATTGTGGTGTTGGATTGGTCAATCGGCGCCGGAGTCAGGCTAGATTGGGCCTAAACAATAGTCGAGTGGGTTTGGAGGGGGGGGGGGGGGGGGTGTGGTGGTGGTGGTGGGGTGGTGGTGGTGGTCTGGATGGTGATGATGATGGTGTCTGGGGGTGAAATAAAAAGTGAAGGGCAATAGGGTAATTGTATAAATCAAATTTAAATTAACTTATAATATTAGTTTAAGAGTGGGAATATGGAAATAATAGAACCAAGGTATGAATTTGGGCTTTGGCTAAACTTTGGGTGAAACATTCGTTTGCTCAATTAAATATAGAAAATAATAATTAGATTTCCGTAGCAACTTGATTAATCAGATGGTGGTCAACGATTTTCTTTAGACAAGAACTTTTTTCTTTTTATCACTTCAAGAGGACAATTTTAAAATATTTAATTTGATTCATAAATAATCTAATATTTTTCTATAATAAATCAAACATATATTTATTATTTTATTAAAATATAATTCATTCTTACCCATTAATAGAAGATTAATATTACATTCACAATCTCTTCTAACAAACTTTCAGTTCGTAATTAATCAGTTCTAATTTATCAGATATGATTCACGTGAGATCCATTATGAACTAACTAATTACGAGCTTTCATATTAAAATTGTGAGTAAAAGTTTGTGAGAAAAAGTGTGGGTTTAACATTTTGCACTTCCTTTTCGTTTATACAAAATTTGCTTTAAGTATAACCGGATGCAGTCAGTCAAAGAGGTCAGACGTACTGATGAAAGATTAGCAAGTCCCACAAGAAAATTATATTGGTGTAGCTTTAATTAAATTGTAGATGATCAAAATTGAGACAAGAAGTGAACCATTAAGAAGAAAGAAAATTCACTTTTACTTAATGAAAACAAGAATACAAACCACCACTAAGCTCCTAAATAGTCTGATGATAAAAGAGTAAAAGAATGTTTCATAAATTCCTGAGTTCGAGTCCTCTCGGACACTAATAGGAGTAACCACTAAGGCTTTTACCTGACCGATAGTTTCAGACTTCTGAAGGATTAATTAAAATGCGTGCAAATTAGTCCAGATAACCCAATTATTAAAAAAAAAAAAAAAAAAAAAAACACCAGGAGAATGAATATTAAAGCTCAAAATTGATGCTTGGCAACAAACTGAAAATCCGCCATTGATGCTTGGCAACAAACTGAAAATCCGCCATTGATGCTCCAGTATGAATACTGTTGATAATTAACTGCCTTATCCTTGTTACATCACCTAATACATCACATTTCTTAGTACAGTTGGATTTACATTAAAATAGCATGTCTCTGTTTATTTAATTAGGATCATGGTCCAAGTACTATAATATTACCTCTATTTTATGATTATTTATGTATTGTGAAAGATTTTTACATGTAAGTGCGGAAGTGCCCCACTTATAGATTGACATACTTACATGAGATCATATGTTAATGTTTGTGGAAATATGAAAAGGGCTATGTTCCGTAAAAGTTAATTGGTATTTTGTATATATATTTGACTTTGTGTAAAAGGTTTACATGATTATTAATGCAGACTTTTATAATTTTTATTACATAGAACATAAAATCTGCACGCTCTTTTACTGTGCATAAAATACAAAATACACCAATATAAAATTTAACATAAAATACACAATTTAATTATGGACTACTATTTTTTAAAGCATCCTTTATTGATGTACATTGAGAAGAACCTGATTTATCATTTTCTCCATAATCAAGTAAGAGGAACCATTGGGAGAAGTAATTGCTTTTAATGCCAATAATTTCCACTCCATAGCCTTTTTCTTCATTTCTTTGCCCTTATCTCCATTCATCAATTCTCTCACAAGTCTCTCAATTTCAACTCTGCCAACATCAGAGTTTATTTCCATGCCGACACCCCATTGAGTGTCACACATCCAACAGTTGGTCTGTTGCTCTGCGAAAAATGGCCAACATATCATAGGCACACCACCACACAAGCTTTCCATTGTAGAATTCCAACCACTGTGGGTTAGAAACCCTCCAATCGCTGAATGACTTAGAACTTCCTCTTGGCGACACCAATTTGCCAGGAGACTCCTTTCTTTTGTTTCTGTCATAAACTCTGGAGGAAGAATGGCTGATTCACCGATGACTAGATCAGGCCTAATTACCCACAAAAAGCTTTGTTTACTATTCGCAAGACCCCAAGAAAATTTGACAAGTTGATAGTCTGTTATGACAGTTACACTCCCAAAGTTAACAAGAACAACAGAGTTTGGTTCCTTTGAATCAAGCCACTCCAAACACCCGGGTTGTTCTTTCCATAAGTTTGATCCTACGAGACTCAGAGCATTATCAAGTGGAACCTGATTCAGGAGGAGCTGAAGAGGACCAATACTGTAGATAGGAGGATAAGTTGGAGAAGTTGCTTCCAAAATCTCACCTTCTAAATCATCAAAAGTATTGAAAATGAGTGCAGTTGCATTACGTGCATTCTCAACTTCTCCCAGGGCAAAATCGACCATAATATCATTCGCATCAGTAGTTCTGATAAAGCTTGGCATATCCTTCAATCTTATACCTTCCATACCAGGTATCCAATCAAGAACAGTATCCATAAATCCATTTGTTAAATAACTCATATCTACATGTCAGAAGTAAAGGGAATTCAGTGGCATAATTTTCAAACTACGTACGTAATTAATTAAGACATGCGTCAAAGAAATAAATGAGGATTACCTTTGAGAGGAAATATACCCTTTTCTATTAAATTTCGGTAATTCACGTAACCCATGAAGCCAGAAGCGCTTGCTGTCCAAAAAAGAACGTTAGGAATATGCAGCTCTTTAGCAACCTCAAGAGTGAAACTCATAACAAGATCAGATACTATGCAAGTGACTGGAGGAACATTTGACAAAGACGTGCTGTTGAGTTCCACGAGAAGATCTTTAAAGGGAGCTAAGCAGGTTTTCCTGGTTGAGTGGCATATAGAGGGAACGTCTTGCGTGGCGTCAGCATCAGATGGAGGGAGACCATCGGGAATAGTTTTAAAACGGAAACTTGAGGTACCATTGAGAGATTCAGGGCCTTGGGACCTTAACAGCCGTCTATGATTGAACTCTGTGTTTACAAAAGTGACATGGAAGCCTTTGTGGTGAAGAAATTTAGCTAGTTTTAACATGGGATGTATGTGGCCTTGAGTTGGGAATGGAACACAAACTGCATGAGGGCGATTAGTTTCTGAAAGCATCGCAGACCCTATCTCTAGCTCTGCTAATTTCGATCTTTCTTTCACCTTAGCTAATTGGTGCTTAGCCTGCAAGGTTTAGTAAATTTATAGAAGGAATTTGGACCATACCCCCACAAAATGGATTTGAAAATACCAATTTGATATCATCATTATTGATCTCCTGACATCAGTCCAGTATCTCATTTTCACATATAAGAGACAAATACTACTTATCTGCCCATCCTTTTTAAATTTTTAATTTGATATCATTGTTACAAGACGAAGATGTTGGGATATTGTGTTTTGTTTTCTTATTTGTTAGCGTGTAAAATTGTATGTCTTTAAGTAAATTATTTAATAAGAAATATAATTACAAATAAAAATAGAAATAAAATCTTTCATATACTACCATAACCATAAAGATGAAAACCAATTCAAGGTTATGAGAAAATATGAGAACGCAAAATATTTGATATAGCGGTTATTAAACATCATGCGTAAAGTGTCTTAGAAACTAAGGTTGTTTCTGTTCTAGGTACTGGGTTGAGCATGGTTAGAAACTAGGATTGTTTCAGTTCTGTTAATTATGTATCAGATTTATGATGTTCTGTACTTTTGTATATCGTGTTTATGAAACTATAATAGATTTCTCTTATCCTACATGTAGACGAGTTATACTGAATCACGTAAATATTGTGTCTCTTTATTTAATATGATTTTATTCTTATATTAATAATCTCGAATGTATATTTTTCATTGCACCATCATCTAACATAATACTTCTTTTTCAAAACAGTTCATAACAGTGCTTTCCGTTTTTAAATTTGTTTAAAAGATTATTGTGTCTATATTAGTGACGTCCAAGGCGGCTTATATCTAACTAATTTGTCATAAATAGAGTACATCTCTAGGTTATTAAAGAATATGGACAACTTGAAAAGACAAATCACTTGGATTACATACAAAATAATAGCGACAAACATCACCATGCAAAATTAATTATGCATAAACTTTGATTTTAAAAAACAATCATGACGTCAGCCAATTATGAAAGAAATAAACAATGGAATAAGTACGCTGGACTCCGTCAAATTCAGTATAGAGGAGAGTTAATCACCATCCAAAGAAATATATATATGATAGCAAAATCTTACTAACCCTAACCCTTTACTTGATTCATTCAATGATGATTCATGATGAAGTCGTCTCTTAAATTAAGTTTCATTTGATTCATAATGAAATATTTGTACCAAATTGTTGTGTGTGATTTTTCTATTAAACTCGGTGAGTTACAAGGTATTAAATCGACCCAGAATCAGTCCGACCCTATCGATTATCTGACCCAACATAAGCTCGTCGACAAATAGCTTGACCCAGCATAAGCTAGGCACGAACAACCCGAATGATCATTTAATCAAATCCCAGATATTACGGGAATGACTAGATTAATAGCAATCTCTGCGCAATCATAACACCCAATCGCGAGAATATCGGAGTTGTAGTTGAAATCAATTGTAATCCCTTTATTTTCTCTCTTTCCTTTGTACAAACCTTGTGTATAAACCCCCTCAAATGATGAAAAAGGGGTTAGAGAATTTTCATAGAACTCTTGTTGTAAGCTCTCACAACAAATACAAGAATAGTGGACGTAGGCTTAAGAGGTTACCTCGCAGAACCACTTTAAAAATCTTATTTTCTTTTACTTTATTGCATTTATCATTCACCCATCGCTAATTATCTGTAATCACACCCACATCCGTTCCGGTTCCACCAAGGTGAATCAAATCTCTCTAGTTGGTGCGAATTTTCGTATCAACATCTTGGTGCTAGAGGAAGGGCCTCCACCAACATCTTAGAAATTCCAGCGAACAGCCATAGTAACCTACCCAGTCTAGGCTTGCGATCGTGCGTACCATATTGAAGACCACCACCGAAAACCATGAAAATGTTGAAACCACCCATCAGGAGGTGCAACAGGATGCTGTCGGACGTCGACCACTTGTGTCGCCAACTCGGCACGTCACAAATAACCAAGGGGCAAAGACGTCAAACCCTGAAAACAACCAGTTGCTTGAGATGATCAGAACAATGGTTGTATAAGCGGTGCAACAAAACGTGGCTGAGCTGAGAAATCAGCAACCAATTGCCCAGAACCTCTACTAGCCACACTTCGCTGATGCCTCCCTAACAGGTATGAATTCAGCAGGTGGCCAATCTGACTCGTCAACATCGAGAGGCAACTGATACCTTCGCTATCATAAACTCAACTCCACTCATGAGTGTGAATCTCGCGGGCAAATTAACCTCGAGAAACGGCCAAGGAAGCAACCACTGGGTGAGAGCGAAGACAACGGTCACCCCCGAGACGCTCGGCGGTACCCCTAGCAACAGCTTGCAGATCTTAACCCACGCCCGAGACAAGCTCAATCCTCGCAAGCTCAAAAGACGAGTCATGTGCGCCAATCCAACAATGATCGACGTTCTGGTTATAACTGACGTCGCGAGCAATGCACCAACGAGAATGATAACACCTACCAGCCTAGCCATCATGACTCGACTTTGCGCATCAACGCGCGCAATGGAGGGGCTTCGCACGCCACAGACTTGCGAACTCACTTACTCGAAGTAAGGCTAAACAGAGCTAGCCAAGGCAACCATAATGAATATTTAGATCGCGTGCAGAAAATGTTCGACGATCTAAGGGCCCGCCAGAACGGCGCAGTGGAAGAAATAGTGAGTTCCCCCTTCACATAGGAGGTTTGCCAGGCCCCACTTCCACAGGGATCAAAGCGCCAGAGAGTAAATTCAACGGGAGAGAGGACCTTAGAGACCACCTCGACAATTTCAATGACCTGATGGAACTACACCAGGTCTGTGACTTGGCGAAGTGTCTCTGCTTCACAGTCACATTAGTAAGGGATGTCAAAAGGTGGTATAAGAGACTCAAGGTGAACTCCATCAATTCCTGGCAACAATTCTCCTCGTTGTACCTACATCAATTTCAAGCAAGGAGACAGTTCGCAGTGTCACTCAGTTACTTAAGCAACATTCGTCAAGAGAGGGATGAAATACTGACCTTGTATTTAACGAGGTTCTAGAATGAACAAGCGAATGTTGCGGATGCAGCAAATGAGTCCGTCTGAACTTTGCTGAATGCAGGCATCAAGCCAAACACGGAGCTGTGGAAAGAGCTCCAGAGTGAAGATCACGTGAGCTTGGCCAAGTTTTATCAAATTGCTGCAAAACACCAGTGAGTAGAAAACACGCTGGCAGTATTGGCTAGAAGCTCGATGCGAAGAGCTCTGGATAGGCGATAAGATCGCCCATCACACAAGTGCGGGGGTTAAGACCGCAATGATAGGGATTGCAATAGGTCCCAAAAAAGCAAAGAACAAATAACCGAGGGGACAGACAGCCCTTCCCGCGATATACAGAATATACCCCCCTCACACGAGATATAGCTCACATCTATGAAGTCTCCCGTGAGGCAAAGAGATTGCTCACTCCAGAAAGGATGAGAGGGGCTCCAAGCAAAAGAGATCGGCAAAAATATTGTTAATACCACTAGGACATTAGTCATAACACCAATAAGTGTTGGGCTTTGAAAGATGTCATAAAAGACCTAATACAAAGGGGGATCATCCACGACTGGTCCAGAGAGCTCGTCACCAATTGGAAGAGACGGTTCCTTGATGGAAGGAATGGCAGTAATTTCTTCAAGGTTGGGAGCCTCGCCTGGGGGAAGTGTAGTCAGGGGAGCCGGATCCTTGACTTTTTGCTTGAGACCAATCTCCTCTTCACCTTCATCAACCTCTTCCTAGCCTTCACCATCAGCCTTGAAGTTATCCAAGTACATGTAAGCCATTCCTTGAACCTCGGTCTTCATTCTGTCGACCTCCTTCTGATAAGCTCGCGAGAGGAAAGAGAAGTCGATTGAAGGGTGGGCATCCCACAACTTATGTACAAGAAAGACCGATATCTACCAAGCCCGAGTAGTGATGGCCTTGTTCAACTCCTCAATTTGAAGTATGAGTTGCCCGGCCTCAGCTTCGGCCTTCCGTCGACCTTCCGCCTCCTAGGCAAGGTCAAGCGAGGACTACTTAAATTTGGCCTCCCAGACCGAGATAGCATTTTGAGTCAATGATAGCTCGGAATTCAGTTTGTTATTGTCACCTCGCTATTGTGCCAAGCTCTTCTCAGCATTAATTACCTTAGCTTTAGCCTTCACTCCCGCGGCCTCGCTCGCGTTGAGCTTGTCAAGGAATCTCTTTCCTTGACCTTAAAGGTGCCAATTTCCCCCTTCAGCTGCTCGAGCTCAGCCTGTCTGGCTTCCTTCTTCTTTTCTACAACCTCGAATGTTCCCAGGGTGACGTCGTCCTTGGGCATAAAGGCCCCAATGCTAATATGGTCGGGGATAGAGCTAGGCATTTGGGACCGGGCCCAAAAGCCCAGCTCTAAAACCCGGTCCTAGGACCGGTCCTTGAGAGGACCAGACCTATGAGGCCTGGTCCCAAAACGGGACCAGGCCTAAGGAGGAAGGCCCGGGCCCTCCTCCAAGGCCCGGGCCTGGGACCAAAAAATTTTGTATTTGTTCAATATAGTCCTCTGTCAAATTACATAAAACCCCCTGTTAATTTTAAAATAAATATAAATTACGAAGGCTAAAATTAAATTTTACAACATTTATAAAAAAAAAAATCTTCCAGATTTAAAAAATTTATAAATTTTACCCCTAAAAAAAATACTAAAAACCCCCTAAAAAATTTTGTTTTGCCCCCAAAATATAAAAAAAATTGAGGGGGGGAAATAAATTATCCAAGCCCCATGGGACCAGTCCCTACCAGGCCTAAGGCCTAGTCCCATAGCCCCATGGGACCAGTCCTGGGACCAGTCCTAGGACCGGTCCTGGGCCTATGGGACCAGTCCCTACCAGGCCTAAGGCCTAGTCCCATAGCCCCATGGGACCAGTCCTGGGACCAGTCCTGGGACCAGTCCTAGGACCGGTCCTAGGCCTATGGGACCAGTCC